TAGATTTATGGAAGAAGCTTGATTTGCAAAGAAACTTGTTTTTAAGCAAGGAGGGGGCAAAATGAAGGTCAGGTGCAGAGGTGGTATTCAGCAGGTTCTGACCAGTTCTGGAGAACCGGTAGTGGAAATTTTGAGTAGTTAGGAGAACCGATAGTGGAAATTTTGAGTAGTTCGGAGAACCGATAGTGGAAATTTTGAGTAGTTTGGAATACCACCTCTGACTGCTCCCCCTCCCCAATCTATTCTCTGCCTCCTGAGTCCCAGCTGATCAGCTGGGTCTTCTTTTGTTGCCCTGCATATGAGAACACCCCTGGTTTTAATCACTATATTACAAAAAAGTTGTAGAGACTCTGGAAAGAATGCAGAAAAGAGAAACAAAGATGGTTAGGGGCTGAAGGCTAAAACATATGAAGAATAGTTGCAGGAATTGGGTTTATCTAGTCTAGTGAAAAGAATGTTCCAATATGTGAGGGACTACCATAAAGAAGAGTGGGTCAACCTACTTTCCAAGGCACTAGAAGGAACCTAATCAAGAAGAGAAGCAACTTAGAACTAAGAAGCTTCCTAAGAGTGAGAACAATTAATCAGTGGAACAACTTGGCTTCAGAAGTGTTGGTGCTCCATCACTACAGGTTTCCAAGAAGACACTGGACAGCCAGTTCTCTGGGATGGTATAGGGTTTTCTGCTTGAGCATGGGGTTGGACTAGAGGACCTCTAATGTCCCTTCCAAGTCTGTTATTCTGTTATTCATTCATTCATTCCCTATTTCCAAATCCATATTTATATTCCTTCACAATATGGGATATTCTTCTGTAATACTTCATCAATATGGAACTATAAAGTACAGTTCTTTGAGAATTCTTGTAAATTTGTAGGGGAAATTATTTAACTTGTTTAATTTAAGAAAAATAATTTAACCCTTTAACATACAGCTTCATTTGCAGGAATAGGAGGGAATTTAGCATAAACATGATCTGGATATAAGTGAAATAATATGAATGAATGGAGTTTTTCATTACTAATTTGGAACAGATAAAAGTAGGTTCAGCACAAGAAAAAAATTGAATACATTTTTTCCTTATCTTTGAAGGTTAATTTACCTAAATCATCATGGTCTTAATGTTTAATTAATACTGGACAAACATCATAATAAAGTACAATGTATTATTAATTATTAATATTATACAATTATTGTATTACTTGCATCTCATAATAGTACAAGAAAATATTTAAAAAAAGAAAAACATTTGAATGTTTGGGACAGATCATCATGAAGAAAATTTATCTAGATGTCCATAAACATTATGACACATAATCAAAATAAATTAATTGAAACACATAATGTTTTCCCAGTAACATTGTTGATAAATGTAAGATAAACTGGTGGCATGGGAGGGCCTGGAATTTAATGCATTAGTTTAAATGTTTTTTATTTACAGCGCTATTCCAAAAACTGAAAGTAAGCTCATTGGAAACTTAACAGAGAATGTATTAGTAACAAAAGATGATGGGTAATAAATTAGATATATTATTTGATGAATTTTCATTCAACATTCAGTGGACCTAGTAATCTTTCTTCCATTTTTCTCATTTATCTTACCAGTTACTAAAATGGATTGTACATAGTGGCTATATAAATTTACCTGAGTTTTTGGTGGCAATGGCAGCCCTCTGTAATGGCCCATCCTTGTGGAAATTAAGTCCTTGTGTTAGCTTCCTTCTGAATGCAGCAGAAAATGGAGTTCTTCAAGAGGACATTTTCTGGAGTGAGGCATATAAACTCACAGCTGTTGCTTTATGCTTTATCATATATATTGGGATAGATACATCATGGTTGTGTTAACTGCTATTGTAACTTCTGTGAACCACCAGGATTGCAGTGCAATAGAAATATTCATTTTTCTTCTGTTCAATCATGTCTGATTCTCAGAAACTATCTGGAACAATGTTTTTCAGAAATGGTTTGCCATTGCTTCTTCCTAGGACTGAGAGAAAGTGACTGGCCCAAGGTCACCCTGCTGGCTTTTTGCTAAGGTAGAACTAAAATTCACAATTTCCCAGGAGTTTCTATCCTGATGTCTTAACCCAGGAGGTCTTCAAACTTGACAGCTTTAAGACTTGTGGACTTCAACTCCCAGAATTCCTCCTCCAGTCATGTTAGCTCAGGAATTCTGGGAGTTGAAGTCCACAAGTCTTAAATGTGCCAGGCTTGAAGACCCTTGCCTTAACCACTACACCAAACTGGTTCTCTAGTTTCTAGTAATACAAATATACATAAATAATAAAGTTGACATGACTCATAGCTATATAAAGAGTCCTGATATCCATTAAGACTTGTAGGCATATAATATAATATATCCCACTTGTCCATGAAGATCACTATGGTTATTCCTGATCGATTTACTTTTGACAATGAGAGCAAGGCTGCAATAAAACAGCCATCTAAATACTATCATTAAAGAACAGATGGGAATATGCGCAAGAAATATTTTTAATTTTAAACATGAATGATGAAGAAAAAAGAAAGTAAGAATGTTTTTCATAAAAATATTACAGCTGTAGAAAGTGATAGCTTTATACCTTTTCAACACAAGCAATATGCAGGTATATATTTCAATGGTCACTGACTTGTAAAATCTAATTCAAAAGCCCAAGGTTCTTTTGAACATTAAATGTATCTTGTGTTAGGGATAACATTGGTTACCTAACTTAGTTTGGGTAGAATAATATATAAACTATGTTAGTGAGTTTAAGTGTATGTATCACTTTAAACTGTAAACCAAGTTTTTGGGTGCAGTTGTAAAATCACCATAAGAGGGAGCAAGAGAGCTCACTGTTTGCCTGGATTTTACTGGAATGCTGACAATGATAGATTGATGGTGATAACTGCGAGTTTGCTGAGAGAAGAAAAGGGGTTTGATTTTTCATCATATCTCTGACTGCAAAAGAGATATATCACTGGACTGATTGATTGTAAGTTTAATGAACTCTTTTTCAACACTGGACTTTGCAAACTGAATAACCCCCGGACTGACTGAACTTAGTGTATGACATATGGACTGTTTTGACTATGCTATAACACTTGCTGGAATAAAAACTATTTAACTTGCACAGTGTATCTGTCTTACTGAGTGTAAGCTACTACAACGTTTTATCTCACATATCTGCCTGTCTGCTAGACTGCCGTTGCACGTTCTGCTAGGGTGTATATCCCTAACATCTTGTATGGAATTTAGGCAATCCAGGTTTATCCATTGGAATAAAGGCTGCAATAATAGTTCTTGAAATTTATTTTGTAAACAGAATCCTGCAAGGGCTGAAAAGAAAACCTCCTGCATACAAACAATATGTATACAGACATATAGGCTGAATGTTCAAGCACAGTGAATGGGTAAATGTAGAAATAATTCTGGAGATTCAGTATCAAATTTCCTAAAGTCCATAATACACATCATTATAACCATCATTAATGAAAATAAGTTTTATACAACATTATAATACATTATGAAATCACTATCAAATGCCTTTTCAGTTATGAAACTGAGTGTTTTTGTATGTCTTAAAAATAGTTCAGAGAATTGGGTGTCTCCAGGGATAATAAGGAATGTGTCTCAAAAAAGTTGCAACCCAGAAAAATCATCAACTTACCTTCATTAACAGAAATCCTTTATCTTAACTTGATAGTTCCAGATTGTTTTCAAAGCATGAAAACTCTCTAAAACAGCTCAAGACAAACAAAACTTTTAATTTGAAATCATTCTGTCTTTGAAAAATAACCTCATTTTACATACTGAAATACAATTATTAGGCTAAGTTCATGAAGTAATATTTATGATTGAGCCACTTTGGAGAAACCTGACTAATTATATGTTGTATCCTTCATTAACTTGAAAGATGTTGGTAAATTCTCTTGATATTTAAATGAGCAATTTCTATTTCATTTCCTCAAAGCATTGTTGACTTATTTTTTTTCTTTCTGTTGTTAGATGTCAGTTTGTTTTCTTCTGTTTTCAGATATTTTTAAAAGCATCCAGTGGTTCATTTTAAACCTATTTCATTAAGGGTAACTTTTCTCCTTTTTCACTTGAGGACATTTCAATTACTATAGTATAGTGTAATAAATTCTTCTCTATTGGTACAATCAGTTTGTATTGTTACACATATACTTCAGTTCTCTACTTTTACTGCTTTATATATGTTTTTTTTTTTTAAATGTCAATAAACCATAACAAAATCTTACTTATTTTCTTTCATTATTCTGCTTTGCTTCCACTGATGACTCTTAACTTCCTTGCAGACTGGCAGTATGAGGGTAAGAAGGCCAACTGTGAGCTTCCTGAAAATTGCTTGTCTGTTTTTCGCTGTGGCACTATTTAAAACTTTGTTGAAATTCTATTCACTCTAATTAGAGACTTGTGCTGCAATTAAATTTCAATTATGTGTCTTTCTCCTGTGAAGCTTTAATTATGATTTATTTCTGCAATCGTGTTTTTTTTTCCTGTTTTTATTGTGGTTTAAATTACCATCCCATCATTTCTGTCTAAAAAACCCCCTCTGTTCCACACTAGTTTCTGGTTAGCCCAAGACATAATTAAAAACAAAACAATGATGTTTATTGTGATGTGTTATGGTAAAGGCCTTGTGTTTGGATATGGTCCAAACATATGAAATTTAAGAAGCAAATCTTAGTAAACATTTGATTTATAGAAAAATACATTCCTGGGTAAAGTTTTCTAAAGAAAAACCTTATATGTAATCATAATTAAGAATCTAACAAGTCTGGTGAACATAGTTCACCATACAGTAAAACAATCTGCGTTAAGTGCTATCATCTTCCATAATGTTAAGCCAATGTTTACCATTATGGAAGTTGATAGCACTTAACACTGATTGTTTTACAACTATATTCTCCATACTTGTTAAAATGATTACCAACAATTTTTGCTTTATATGCCAAAATTTATGGCATGTAGAATAACTTCTATTTTTATATTTATAGACTGCAAGTTGGCCAGGGCAGGACCTCCAGCAACAATAGTTCCAATTGATGAAGAAAGTCGGAATGGTGAGTATGTTTCTAAATTATGAGACATTTCTTATGCCGCCATAAATAATGTATACATTATTAACAGGAACAAAATGGTTTTACATTCTATTTTCAAAATACATTGTGCCTCTGGTTTATTGAGTTCAGTAATTTACATGCTTTTCAGTGATAAATTATTTGCTTAATGTGATTTCAAATGTTAATCTGATATTTTAGTCTTTAGCCAATATTGAGAACTGAAGGAAAGACCTAACATCACAGGTTCAGGAGCAACTAATTGATTGGTTTTAGAACTATTGTTGTTGCCTTATTCGTGTGGTTTTCAGGCTTTGAACCAAGGCATTCTGCGTAATATTGTCCTATTCATCTAAAATCTGAATTTTAGGAGATATAGCCATTTTAATTAAAGCATCTGCACAGGTAGTCCTCATGTTACTTATAACCATTCATTTAATAATTGTTCAAAGTTGCAATGATTTCAGAGAAAGTGATTTGTGACTTATCTTTGCATTATCCTTGCCAGTCATGTGATCTCAATGAGGCTGATTGGCTCACATTTAGGAGCCATTTCAGGAACATGTGATCACACGGTCATAATTTGTGACCTTACTAGCCAGTTTCCAGCAAACAGCATCAATTGGGGAAGCTGGATTTGCTTAATCATGTTGATTCACTTAATAATGACCTTGCTCAAAATGGTTGGAAACTAGGGCCCAGTCACATGATGTCTCACTTAATGATTGTATCAAGTCCTAATTGTGGTTGTAAATCAAGGATCATTTATATACTAAATCTAGACAAAATAATTTCAAAAGGAACGAAGGAACTGAGGTGTTATCTGAAGCTACCAGGGTGTGGGTGTATGTGTATGTATGCATGGAGAAAGAGGGGGAGGATTGTTTATAAAAGCTCCTGAAGTATTTTTCCCTTATTCATCTTTTGGAAGATAACCAAAATGGCTAATACTCCCAAATAAGACAATGAAATAAAGGAAGGGAAGGTCCATAATATTTTGAAATTATTTCCTTACAATGGATATGAAGTTATATGTGCTTCTATTATGACATTTGGTAATTTGTAGACTTTGAAAGCTATCATTAGAAAAGGCATCCAGAAAGTAATGCAATACACCGCTGTGTGGAAAAGTTATTCTTTGGATTGAGATTTCCTGGAAAATTATAAAGAGACAAATAAAAGATGTAAAAAAAAATCATCTTATTTTATTCTGAGGATTTCAAGATCCAATAATGTGTGATGCTTCTGTTTGCTGTAAACTAGGATCAAAGTTTCTGACCATTTAGTTAGTTTGTTTTTTTTAAACACATACTGCATGTTCTTGTTGTACTGCGTTGAATTTCTTGTGATCTTGTCCAGTGTTAGGCTTAAAAGGTAGGTTAAGAAGAAGTTGAATTATTGAACTGGTGACTTGCCTTGAAAAAAAAAAAAAAGAACAACCCTTAATTTTTAAGCCAAAGGAATGTATCAAAAGTTCACCCCAGAGACACATTTTAGCCAGGTTTTACTGCAGAATGAATAGTGGAATTATAAATAAAAAAAATTCACTGTTCATATTCAGTAATGATATAAAAAGATGAACAAGTTTTATCATAAGTATTTTCCCCTGATAAATAAAATGCCTTAAAGCTTTATGAAAATATTGGTATGTATATAGTATTCCCTTTGCTCACATATAGGGAATATTGCATGTTGTAGGAACCATCTTCTCTTATAGTAACTGCCCAGGCTACTCAATCTTTCATGGTTGACGTGCTCAGGGTTCCTTCAATTAAACAATGCAACCTGTCAGGACCACAAAAGGCTTCTTCCCTTTTGCAGAACATGCCCTCTGGAATCAGGTTCCCCCCAAGATTCTCCCAAAAGTGCTTTTTCAAAAGGCAACAGGATTTTGTTTTTCCTTGAAGACATTTTATTTCTCACCCAGGAAGCTCCTTCAGTTCTGACTGACTGGTGGAGGATAGAAGGATTCATATTCTTTTACATTCCTATATCATAGTCACCTGGTCTTTATAGCATTCTTTCTGAGGCTCATTGAGGTCACTTGGAGGTTTATCTGTGACCTCAGGGTTACCTGACTAATGCAAATAGTGTGGAACTTCCTGGAACTGCTGAAAGGATGGTGTTGTAAACAGGAAATAGGTGATATTGTATTGCTCCCCTAAGAATGACAGAGGGCTGTTCAATCTTAACATAAATTGACTCTTTGACCCTTCATTCAAACAGCAGTCTTCTCTATCCAGAATGTGGATTTGCTGTTTTCAACATAGTGACCTTTGTCTTTTAAATTCAAATTACATTTGTGCCCTGGATTCCAATTTCTTTTATCTGACTGTTTAGTTAGCCTTTAGTTGCAGCTCTTCCTCTTGTTCTTCAAGGTTATTCTCACACCTCACATTACATCTATGCCTTTGATGAAGTGGAGGAACATCCTCTTGTTTCATTCCCATCTGGTCTGTTGTTCTCATCATATTTTATCTTTGTAATTGGTTTTATTGTTTCTCCTTGTTTTAGTTGTCATGAGACACCCAGAGCTATTGGGAAGTCAGACAGCATACAATTCGATAAATAAAAACAAAATAGAGTGAATCCAACTGAGTACAAGTGAGAGCTTCCCTTAAGCACTAGCAGAAGGAAAATGGCTCCCTAAAGAAGATGTTATGGAATCATAACAAGGGGCATATATGGAGGGCAGTTTAGTTTAGTGTAATGGAAATATATAATTATTTTTGTTTTGGGGGTTTTTTTCTGACTACTTTTGATTTCAGGACTGATTTTGCTTAAATTCACGGTCTACTACCTTTTAATTGTTCTGTGTATTTCAAGTGGTAAACCCTTTCTCTCTCTTTTTTAGTTCTAAATTAAAAAGGCCTGTGTTGAACACTTATCAAGCAATATATTTTTAAAGATTTATTCTTGTTGGACAACCCCCTGAATTATTTACTTTCAGTCCTATTTCAGCAACAGTGCTTCAATCCACACAGACATTCTGATAATAAATAGAATGATAATCAAATATAATATGTGTGCATATTTAATTATTTAAATTAGATTTCTTCTTAAGTTAGATGGAGGTGACATACATTACAGCATAAGATAGTTTTTATTTCAATGAAAAGGAAACATTACTCCTATTAGTCCATGGGATTCTTACAATACTAATCCATCTGTTGGTTTAAAACACTTTTAAAATTTAGGCTATATAATGAGTAGGTTTTCAGATACACCTTTACAATAATGAAAGAAAATCAGAACATTCTACTTCATACTTTGTATTAGAGAGCATTTATGCTACCCACTCTGGACTGATAGTTATTGACAGAAATCCATTATTCATAAATCAGTTAAAATGATAGGTATTTCTGTACTTAACAATAAGAATATAAGGACTTCTGAATACAAATAAATATTTTTTATGGAAGTGTATAATAGGATTTTTTAAAGGCAGATATTTAAAGTCTGTGATATTTCAGAGGGGGGAAATAACTGAAAACAAAAGTAACTCAAACAGAAAGAAAACATAAAATGAGACTTTCTTTACAAATTTTCTGATTTAAAAAAGATTCAGGCTTTAAGCAGAATATATTCTTGCTTGTTTTAAAATTAAAGTAGAATGAAATTCTCTTTTATAATAAACATTCCAGCTCTTCCAACTTTGGAGTAGACATTGGCAGAAACTCAAGAGGAATTCTTCTCCAGAAAAATTATGTTAAAAGGAAGACACCGTTTTAATTAGGAAATCAACAACCAGTAGTCCAATCACCTGCCTTGTCCACTCTTAGCTTCTATATCTAGCAATAGCAATAGACCTATGTACTGCTTCATAGTGTTTTAGAGCCCTCTCTAAGCAGTTTACAGAATCAGCAAATTGCCCCCAACAATCTGGGTCCTCATTTTACAGACCTTGGAAGAATGAAAGGCTGAGACAACTTGGAGCTGATCGGGATCAAACTCAAAGTAGTAAATAGCAGAGTTAGCCTGCATTACTACATTCTAACCACTTCCCCACCACAAAGATAACAAAATGAATGTCATGGTGTCACAGTACAAGCACCTCCCTTCATCACTTTTTTTTTTTTGCCACTTCTTCCGGATGCCTTCTGCCCACTTATAACTCAGTTTCAATTACAATATAACTGATTAGTTAAATCAATAGGAGTTACAGTTCTGATAACAAATTTAATATTGCTCTAGAACTCTGCCAATGTCATGCCCCTGGTGGAGACTGACTCTGAGGAAGAGGAGGAACAGCCGACAGGGAGTGGAAGTGTGGCTTTGGAGGTTGTAGAGGAGGCTGGGCAGTCAGAGGAGGACCCAGGCCCATCCCCTCTCCATCCTAGGGCATGCAGGGAGGAGAGGATAATGGAGAGACGTGGTCTACTCAGGAGGAGAGGGCCTTGATCCTCTTCATGGGCTGCAGCTGTGACAACTGAATAAGAGGACGGACATGTGTACGGGCGAATGCTCGAAACAAAGCATGGAATTATCTCTAGTTTATGGCTCCTTTCTGAGTTTGGCATCCTTCCCAGTGTATGTTCTGTTATCTGTGGAGTCCTCCAGCCCTTATCTTGCCTGGTTTGTGTTGTTTTTTTCCTCCTTCTTGTAACTGTTTGTGTGTGAGCTTTTTGTCTTCTGACAAGGATATTTGGACCTTGGAGGCAAAGTGAAGGAATAAAAGGGCTTCCCCAGGTTTTTGTGACTGCGTTTATTTGGTATCCCCCCCCACCCAAGAAAATAATGAGATTTTTAGTGTACAGAATGCAAAAAAAATAATAATAACCTGCACTAATCTACTCATGAGACATCTTCTTTATAGTCACATAGCACTGCATTCGTTTAAACACATATATGCTGAAAATGTCTGATGAAAAGATAAATATTCAGAGATTCCCTGCAACTTAGTAAAAAATAAAAATAAAGAGTGAGTCCAGAGAAAATGAAGACATGAGTGGTTTAGAGATGAACTTTCTCTATAAAAATGCTAATATCCACCACATTTCTAG